CGTTTCAATTTCTGTCTAGCTCTCGTCATTATCTCGTTCTCTTCAGCTTATTAATCTTTCACTTGCTTGTATTGTCGTTTTTCAGTTGTAATTATGCGAGTAATTGTCGCAGTTATTTATTTTGCATTTTTTGGGATTTGTAATTTACGCGAGAGATCGTCGCGATGCTTTCCTTTACCGTTTTCTTTATTTTCGTCTTTTCAATTTTGTCATATGATAATATTCGAATGTTTGCATTAATTTACCGTTAGAGTCCTTCCGAAGGATTAGGTCTAACAGTTTGACTGCCGAGTCAATAGCATTACCCTTTGAATGGTTCAAACCCTAATTAGCCTAGGTGTCCCGCCGTGGACGAAAATGCCCTTTACCCTAGCATTATGTCAAAGAGTCGCCGTACTCTGTTTTGGGTTTCCCGCCGTGGAACATTTAGTCAACCCTAATTCAACCCTAATTTCAATTAACAAGTTCAACGTAGAAATATGAGTTTTAAGACTCCACGTAAGCGCTTCCTTAAGAAATGCTTATTTCCCCATGAAACCTTGACAACAGTCAAGACGTTTCTAACCTCCCTTTCGAGGGAAACTACGATTACTCTGATTCCAGTCCCTATCCAGGATACGTAGGCACAAGATGCGAATCTTGCCTAGTAAACTTAGGACTAACCCTTAGGTCTTTTCAGTCACTCTTAACCCTTAGCTTAGTATGTATAGTTAAATCAAATAATAAAGCAAAAATAGAAAAAATAAACAAAAGGTTTCTGTAGAGTACTACAGAAGTTTAGGGTGCTAGTACCTTCCTTAAGGTTAACCAACCCCTTACCTAGGTCTCTCCCTGCATTGTGTTACGATGCAAAAGTAGGTTTTCCTTCTTTTGACCTTTTCCTTCGGATAAATCAAAGTTGGTTGTGAATCAAGAATCGTGGTTCAAACTAATTAATAGTTTGATATCCTATTTCCACCGCAACATCATCTATTCACAAAAATAATTATTTAAATAAATTACTCAATTAAATCAAATAATTAATTAAATAAGCGAATAATTAAGTCAGGGTTTTACATTAACCATCTACATGCAGGAGAAAATGTCATGATGAGTATGAAAGGTGCATTCCAGTGCAGTGAGGAATGGTATTTAGACTCGGGATGCTCTATTCATATGACAGGAAGGAAGGATTGGTTTGTTAAAATCAATCATTGCATGAAGAACAAAGTGAATTTCGCGAATGACACCATTCTAACAGTCGATGGGATCTGTGATGTTTTGATCATGAGAATGGATGGTGGAAATTCCTTAATCAAATATGTATTGTACACATTAGGAATCAAATGTAACCTTCTAAGTATTGTCCAATTGCTTGAGAAGGGTTACAAGATTCACATGAAAAACAAGAAGGTATGTGTTAGGGATGCAAACATGGTTTTGGTCCTTAAAGCTCCTATGGCTGCCAATAAAACCTTCAAGGTTGAGCTGAAGGTTATGAAGCATATATATCTTGCTACAACGGTAAGTCGAGAAGATTGGATATGACACTATCGTGTTGGGCATCTCAAATTTTGAGATCTCAAAGACTTGCAAAAGAACGGAATGGTAACAGGGTTTCCATTAATCAACATGTCAGATGAGATTTGTGAAGAATGTTTGCAACTGAAGCAACATAAGGGTAAATTCAGCAAAAATACAGGTTATATAACCAAGAATCACCTTGAGGTTGTGTATTCGAATACGTATGGACCAATGCAAGTAGATTCCATTGGTGGAAATAGATACTTTGTCACATTCATCGACGATTATAGTAGAAAGCTATGGACATGTCTAATCAAGAGAAAGGATGAGGTATTTGAAGTGCTTAAGAAGTTCAAGTTCATGGTTGAAAGACAAAGCGATCACAAACTCAAAGTGCTCAAAACGGATGATGGAGACGAATATGTCTGAAAAGACTTTGAGAGGTTTTGTGATCAAGAAGGGATTGTGCACGAGGTTGTACCACCTTATACACCACAGAAAAATGGTGTTTCTGAAAGGAAGAATAAATCAATCATGAACACGGTGAAAAGCATGTTAAAGGGGAAGAACTTGCCGAAAGAGTTATGGGGAGAAGTGGCATCCCCATCTGCCTATTTGTTGAATATGTGTCCAACAAAGAAGCTTGAGAAGGTAACATCGGAAGAAGAAGGGTCGGGATTCAAACTGAATCTGAACTATTTGAGAGTTTTTGGTTTTGTAGCGCATCAATAAGTTTCAGGGAAACTTAGAAAGAAGCTGGATGATAAGGGATAAATGGTGATACTTGTAGGGTATCACTCTACTGATGGTTACAAGTTATTTGATGTAGCAAAGAGGAGGGTTATGATCTTCTAAGAGGTCATTCTCAACTCAATCAAAGAGTTGCAACAACCTATAACTGGTTATGTAAAAGCTATAACTGATTACAGCTTTGAAAGTTCAGATTCTGCAGAAACAAAAAGTATAGAAACTCTCATTGTCGAAGCTTGAATTGAAGAAAATGTGAGAAGATAAACAAGAAAAAATGGTTTGCCTCAAAGGCTCCAAGATTGAGAGCTGTTCTGAGACAACGAAGTCAATGATAATGGTGATTTCGTCCATTTTGCACTTATGCCTGAATTTGAAACTGTCGAAACGGAAGAGGCTTTAAGTGATCCAAAGCGGATTTATTCTATGAAGGAGGAGCTGGAATCCATTGAGAAGAAAAATACTTAGGATTTGGTTGATCTACCAGACGGGAAGAAGCCGATTGGTGTGAAATGGGTGTTCAAAGTGAAGGCAAATCTCAAAGGTGAAATAATCAATCATAAGGCTTGATTAGTTGCAAAGGGATTCTTGTAAAAGATGACACAGACTTTTAAGAGATATTCACACCGATTACTAGAACTGGAACCATTAGACTAATTGTTAGTATTATGAACATCTACCAAATGGACGTCAAATATGCGTTTTTGAATGGGCCACTTGAAGAATAGGTGTATGTAGAATATCCCCTGATTTTATTATGAGAAACCAAGAGCTAAAGTTCATAAGTTGAAGAAAGCATTATATAGTTTGAAGCAAGCTCCAAGAGTTTGTAATAAAAGAATAGATGGTTTCCTAAAGGAGTCTGGTTTCAATAAATGTGTATCCGAGCATGGAGTGTATGTGAAGACGGATACAAGTGAAGGAGTAATTACCCTTTATCTATATGTATATGACTTGTTGATAACAAGCAGCAACAAAAAAGGCATTTCTAAGTTCAAGAATGAACTTATGAAAGAATTTGAGATTACCGACCTTGACCTCATGAAATACTTCCTTGGCATTGAATTTCACAAGTCTAAAAAAGGATTGCTCATTCACCCAAGGAGGTATGCATTTGAGATGTTGAAGAATTTTGAAATGGAGCATTGTATTGGTACCATTACTCCGGCTGAACTGAGGCTACAGTTGTCGAATAATAAGGATGAGCAAGATGTTGATCTAACTCAATATAGGACGATGAATGGATCCTAGCGATATTTGAGCAATACGCAACCATAATTATCGTTTAGTATCAGTATTGTGAGTAGATTCATGGGAAGACCGAAGGTGTCTCACTTAGTAGTAGTCAAGAGGATTCTAAGATATGTCAAATGTTTGACTACAAAATTCTCTTTTCCGCAGTAAATACGGGCAGAAAATGAAATTTGCTCGATTTTACCTATTCTAATTGGTGCGGAGATAAAGATAATTGAAAATCTACAGCTGGATACATCTTTATGTTTAGTGGAACACTAATGTCATGGTGTTCGAAGAAAAAACCAGTAGTTGCACTCTCGTCTTGTGAGGCTGAGTACATTGTCGCTTTGTTATGTGTGTACCAAATTGTGTGACTAATGAATCTATTGGAGGAGCTAGGCAACAATGAGGGTGAGGTTGTTACATTTCTGGCTGACAATGTTTCCGCAATTAATCTTCCTAAGAACCCAATTACACATCGGAGGAACAAATATATTGAGATGAATTTTCACTACTTGAGGGAGTTTATTAGTGAAGGAAGAATATGATTTGGATATTGCAGAAGTGAAGATCAAGTGGCTTATTTGTTGACTAAGCGAGTCACAAATGACGTGTTCAAGAGGTTGAAGATGAACATGAACATGAAAGACTTAAAGCACTTAAATTAAGGTGATATGTTAAAAGTGATTTTAGTAATTCAAGTGTTGTAACCGGTTAACACGAGGGTGTAACCAGTTACAACAACATGAATTTCAATTCTAAACTGAAGAACAAGGCAAAACTTCAAAAGTGTAACCAATTAACATCTAAGTGTAACCAATTAACATTTAAGTTTTTATGTTTTTCGATTATTTGATTTCTTGTATTGGATCCCAATCATTTTATAATCTTGAAAGTATTCTCATCTTTAATTAGTGTGATTAACACTCGTCACCTTCAATTATCTATCTCTTAATTTTCCTCTCTCTTCGTACTTTAATTTTCTCTATCATTCACCAACCTTTAAATTCCAACAAATTTCTCTCCTCTAATTTTACTTATTTGACTTTTTACCTTAGCATACAAAAGATATAGAGAACAAGAGATTCAGCAATTCAAAATGATTTTTACTAAAGACAACTCAAAATGATGAAAACAAATTCCATTTATTTGATAGACCCAATAAAATGCACGATAAAAAAACAATCCCTTGAATCCTATACAAATAGGAAACAAATTATATGATTTAAAATTCAGAGGCCTATTCACAAAACTTGCAATAAAATTTCCAGAGCCACTGCAGACATTTTCTTCCCTCCTATCTGGATGTGACAAAATGATTGAAATGAACCAATAACCAATGTATTGAATCTGCATTTGAGTTTGGATATATGCTACCATCCTTCATTTATGGAAGGAACCAAAATTGGCATAACCCTGAAAAATCAATCCAAACTCACATAGTTAGCTATAGAGTCATCATATAATTATTTTGCACAACATTAAATAATTATATCTGCACTGTTACATACCTATTAGGCACTTAAAACTGAATCAGTGACAGTTTTAAGAGTGATGTTATGAACATCATTCGGCTCTGTGGAAAAATTGAAATACAAATTTTAGATATATGAAGTTAAAATTAAGAATGGTATAAGTTTTGATGATTATACTTATTTTACTTACCATTGGGAATTCTTTGTACAAAGAAGCATGCAGCAATAACAAGGTAACAAAGTAGGAGAACAAGGCCTTTCATGTAGTGAGAAGTACCATCCTACAAGTAAGATATTGGTTATGTTATGTCAGTAATAATATATATAACATTTCATTGAGGTTGATGAAAAAATTTGGTGATTATGAAATGTGATTTGGCATAACTCAATTCTACAAAACTGATTTAGAGAATGAGGTTCCACTTTTGAACATATTATATATTATCTGATGAAAGACTCTTAGCACAAAGTTGAATGTGAAATTTACATACCTGTAAAGTGAATGATGTGACTATGATTGCCACAGCAAGAGAACCTGTCTCAAGGAGGTTGAAGTTTAGGTCCATATTCACACCCATTCCCCAAGCAACAGTAACACAGAGTGGAACCTGAATTTTATTATTATACAAGTTTTCATTATTATTCATAATTCTATAAAAAATAGTTTTAAACTCGGTCCACAACAACAATTATAGCTGCCATATAAAAGATTTTAACGTTTCTGTAACGGTATTGCATACGCAGTTTCGACCGCATAAATATAAAAGTTGAGAGTATGTTTATTTACCACAAACATGGCAATTTGAGTAGAAGAGCCCAATGCAACACCTAAGGAAATGTCCTGCAGTCATGAAATCAATTTAGCTTCACTAGAATAATGTTTTCTGTTTCCTTTCAATTCAACTCTTTATAGCTTAGGAAATATGGATTTGATTATATGTTAAGATGAAAGATTAAGCATGGAATTGATTATAAGTCTGTAAATTCTTACCAGCTTGTTCTTGAAAGCGAAAATGATTGCTCCTGCATGTTCGGCCGCATTGCCAACTATTGGAAGCAAGATTATGCTGAGGAAGCTCACGGATAAACCCCATGAATCTGATGCATCCTGTTAAGAATACTTTATGAGCTATTTTCATATATGCTATAAGCTGAGTTATTATAAGCTATTCTAACGAGTTCATGAAAATAAGTTGAAAAAAGCGTAAGAACATTATTATAAGATCTATCAAACAGTCTTCTTACAAGTACTTATATTAGTAGATATAATCAATTCAAACAAATTCATAGCTTATACATAACTGCTTATATAATACACACTTATTCAACAAGTGCTTAATTTAGTTGAGTTACCTCAATTGTATCCACCACATATTCAGACAACAAAGCAATGAACACAGTCATTCCAGCCAACCAAGCAAATCCACTCCAAAATCCAATCACAGCCTCTTCTTCCGCTTCATTGCTCTCACCTTCACCTTCCTGTTCAACAAAGTGCATAACAAATTACAATCGCAACAATCACTCAACAATTCAACATTTTCATATACAGCTCAATTACGAAAACATACATCTTCCGCTTCAAACAATTGCCTATGTGTCCACAGTTGAAAAATCAAGTAAGCAAAATACGCAACCAACATAACAATGCTAGCCGCTCTCGACAAATACAGTGAAGGCTGTGCGGTGAGTTCAGCCGATGCAGCGCTGTACGTGAATAGCAACGGCAGCAAATGGCATAACAACGCCAATAGCAACATCAGCGAGTTCACATCCGCTTGTCTCTGCAAAATTCATTAACATTAACAACTCAAATTCTGCGACGTAAAACAAAAATAAAAGCTTTGAAATCGATTTTTAAGGACTTACTCGGTCGTATTTCTGCTCTTCTCCAATATTCGCAATTCCACCGCAAAGTAGAGAAGTTCCAAGAACAAGAAGAAGATTCGAAAGCACGGAGCCTAATAGAGAATACTTGACAACAGCAATCTTGTTGGTGGTAAGAGCAAATATTGCAATAATAAGTTCAGTAACATTCCCACATGTTGCATTAAGAAGTCCTCCAACTGTAACATTACACATTATAAATAAAACTTTCAATTAGTTCCAAAACTTGCACTTCCAAATCAAACAATAATTAATCAGTACTAATGAAGAAACTTATATACCTGTAGGACCAGTGAATATGGCAATTTGTCTGCAAAATTCACCAAAACATAGAAATTTAAACAAGAATTAGTACCAATCAAACAATTAAAGGTGCAATGAAGTTGATTGGGTTCCTTACTCCGTGAGAAAGCTCACACGTTCAGCAAGTGGAGTGAGGCCAAGTAAGCTCAATATGAAAACCCAGGACTGTTTGCAAATAATTATAAAATAAAATTAGAGTTAATTATAAATTATAATAATAATAATCATTAATTAAGTAATTAATATATTAGCAGTAAATAAAATAAGCAATTGACCATGCAATAAAAATTATACTACACTTTACAGTTTACAAATAACAATATTCATCAACTTTTATTTCAGTCAACAAAAGCTTTAATTATCATAAACTCTTTATAAAAGCTTTATTAAAATCCCAAAAAAAAAAAACTTAATAATCTTATTATTTAAAAATTAATTAACTTTTTTTGACTAAACTCCAAAACTCTTAGTCATCTAAAACATTCTAGTTGTCGGATTCAAGTCTAATATTAAATGCATAATTATAGTTACAAATTGCGATCTGCAACTGTAATTGGACCATCAATATGAAAGATATCAAAATCGAAATTAGTTAGAAATGAACTCACTCTTCCAAAGCCAAGGTAATGAGCTACGATGGCAGCAGGAATGGCAGGAAAGAGAATGGAAAGCTTTGTTCCAAGAATAACCTCTTGGATATTAGCCACCACATTCCTAACCGAAGCGCATCGAATCTTCGACACGAGCGTTCGGTCGGACTTCTTTCGCAACGAAGAGGACGACATGTTATGCGCGGTTCGGCTCCGGCCATGTCCATGTCTAGACTCTTTGGTTAAGACCTTTGGATGACCATTTTCCAAAAGCCACGGTTGTTGCTCTTGTTGTATTTGGCGAGAGGCCATTTTCGTTGCTAAAGGATATGACAAAATGTTAAAATGCAAACAAAAAGTGAAAGTGTGGTGTATAGTACTTGTATTGCTTGCTGTGGTTATTACTACTATATCTCTTTCTGCATGTGTTGTTTTGTTCGACCATGTGTGTATTTATATATCGTATGTATAATCGCGGATTCGGAAAACTTCCAAATTATGAACCTTCCGCGAAGTTTCCTGAAAATATATTTAAGGTATTTTTAGAAATTTCTGTTTTAAAAGTTTTAGATATAAAAATTGGAAGAGAATAAAAAATATATTTTATTTTTTAAGGATAGGATTTCATACATTCTTTTTCAAAATAAACTATTATACTACTTGATAAGGATATACTTTCAAACCTTTTTATTTCTTTTATAAATTTACTATTATTATTATTATTATTATTATTATTATTATTATTATTATTATTATTATTATTATTATTATTATTATTATTATTATTATTGAAATTGATAAATTTATTATTATTCAACATGAACAAATATGATTGGCGCGAATGGAATTGAGTAGTTGCCCACTTGTTAAACTATTTGTGGTTTACTTTTAAAGATAATATTTTTACATAATTACAATGTGACACTTTAATTTATTTATTTATTTGACAAAAAAGATGTCTTAAAATTTAAAATAAAATTTCAATATCATCTTGATTTCGTGTAAACCCATAGAATAGAATAGTATAGTACCAAACAAAAATATAGTAGTATATACTATATATATCAGACATGATAATAATTATATATTCAAAAATAGTTAAAAAAGGATAATGAGGCTGAATTCGCAAGTTACTATAAAACTAATTTTTTCCTTAAAAAGATTGATGCATTTCTTTTTTTTTTTCTTTCTAATTAACATATGTTATACTGATATGATTTTTTAGTTATTTTGTAAAGTAAAATCAATATTATTACTTGACTTTTAATAAAATAAATATTTATTTTAAATTTTAATTATTATATATAAGATTAGGGGATTAAATATATACGTAATAAAAAATTGACTGACGGGTAGAAATTAGCCTAACACACAAGCTAATTAAGAATTTGTTTGTTTTAACAAATTTTTTTAGTTAAGAGAAATGATATTTTATAAATTAATAAATTAATTTTAATATTTTGTAACATAAATATACATTATTAAGGATTAAAATATAGTTAAAATTATAATTTTTTAAAAATAATTCTTTTAAAAATAATTTTTGTCAAAATCAAATTTAAGTGATTTGTTTTTAAATTTTGATATATAAAAATTTTATGATAAAAAAATAAAATAATTAAAACTATATTTTAAAAATAACACTATAAAAATCATTTTAAAAAAACTAAAACAAACTATTATAAATAATATACATGAAATTCAAAGTACTAGTGTGAGTCGGATACTAGAGTTTGTATGTGTATATCTTCTATTTACCACTCATCAAATATTTCATTTTTTTATAATATTGTATTTTTCTTAGAAATACACATACTCAACTAAAATTTACAAGTATTCAAAAAATCATTATAAAATATTTAATTAAACTAATAAATTATATTTTTTTATTAAATCAATTCAATTAATAGTTATGCATGCTCCAGAGAGACAATGTTCCAGTCACTAGGTTATGATTTAAAATTAATTAATAAATTATACTTCAATTCATATTAATTCTTATTTTTTATTAACAATTTGAATAAATTATCATTAACTTGCACCTATTTTCTTTTGTTGGTCAAAATTAACAAGTAAAATTTTAACAATTTATAATTATAACTTGATAATTTATGATTATAAAAAAATGGATTAGTAAAAACTCACAAATTTCTATATTATATAAATTATATAATTTAAATATTATCATTTACCTAATTTTCACTTTAGTCTAGTGATAATTTGTGAGTTGCTTTTCAACAAAAGTGGTATTAATGATATAATTTTTAATTATGAAAGTTCACTAATAATAATAGAGTAATATGGATAGAGTTAGAAAGCCTATGCAACTCAAAAAACTAGAAACAATATAATACAAATTTTATAGGACAGTGATTTTTAAAAGAAACGTATCCAAATGTTAAACAGTCACCGCCAGAAAAAAATTTTAAAAATTTAAAATTTATTTGATTATCAAAGTTATCAAAGTTTAAATTTATTTGAACTAATTTTCATAAAAAATAATTTTTAAATATATATTTTAAAAAAATTATATGATTTTAACTATAAATATTTATATTAATAAATCTCAAAATGAGTCTTTTGCATGAGTTTGAAATAATTTCTGCTATTATAAAAAAGTTTTTACGATAATTTTTTTGTTAAGAATGCAAAGTGTTTTTAAAATCTATAATAAACTAGCTCGTACTTGTTCGAGATATTGATTTTTTTAAAATAAAAAGAGGGTTAAAAACTCAAAAATTAAAAATTTTACACACGAACAATTTAGGAGAAACTTCTTCCAATACGGTCAAATAGGCTGGAGCCATTTTTATAGGACAACTATCATTTTTAAAATCTATCTGATGTTGAACCCAAACAAACATTAAATGCAAATCAACGACCATGATGAAATTGGGCTTGTGCTCCTGTGCATTATTCAATAATGAAGGTTTACATGTTCGTCGGTGATTGACATACTCTTATTAAATTTAACATATGGATTGGACATATCTTATTAGACCTTTGTCTAACCCGAAACATAAGTGTTCTAGTTTTAAGATATATTCTAATTCTAATAAGTCATTAAAACCCAACTTACATAAAAAAAATGATATATAAAAAGGAAAAATTTTAAATTAAGATATTTAAATAAATAATTAATATATTTTTAAGTAGACTAAGTCCTAAAACAATAAAATATACTTCTATTTAATATTTAATTTGATAGTTCAAAGAATCTAATTCTATATACTATTTCACTATTATAATTAAAAAACTATTATATATATATATATATATATATATATATATATATATATATATATATATATATATATATATATATATATATATATATATATATATATATATATATATATATATATATATATAATGTAGAAACAAAAGAAAGAAGAAAAAACTAGCATTTTAAAAATAAAGTTCATTCAGCATTAGCTGCAAAGATGTAATTTAATTTCAGAGGATGGAAGATGTGAATTAAGTCATTTTCTTTAGAAGACGCGCTTAATTTATCACATAATTTGCACTTTGATTGCATTTATAGAGGATGTGAATAACTCTAAAAGAGCTTTCTTAAGTAAGATATCCTTAATACTTTGGATCAACACTGCATGTTTATAATAATTGTTCAAGGTTGTCTCAATAAGGTTGATACTTAGGGAAAGGTTGAAGTAACAAATATAATGAGTAGTGCATATATCTTTGGGTAGTGAGAGCACTTTGTAAACAACTCTAAGTTTTGCATGGAGTATATTTGGAGAGTTCAGGATGAAACTAGAAAAGTTACTTGACATGTCCCTAGATGAGGTGCAAAAGGTACCTAGTTAATACGAATTGGCGTGGCATTACAACTTTCTTTTATATAGATAATTGTGTGTGAGTAGTTTAGAGAGTTTCGTTTGAGGAAACATTTTTCTGTTTGTAATTTTTGAGATTTAATGAATCAAATGCAAAAAGAGTCTTCCATAGAGTGAGAAGCCAAGGAGAGACGATACTTATGAATGGTTTCATGAGATGTGCATGTAGAGTTACAATTTCTCCAATCTCATCAGACTCATGTGACAAAAAATTTGTAACGGGTAGCGTGATTCCCACTTTTGATCCAAAATTTTCCTTAACGAATCGAGAAAAAAAATCTTGATGATTAAAACCAAGGTGAAACCAAGAGTTTCTATAGTCAATACAATCATGAACACAATAAAGGAATTACTTTTCTTCTAGGACATATCTGGAACATATAACCAAGAGGACCATGTTATTATGGTGAAGCAAAGAGAGAGTATGAACAAAGTTGTTACAAGCAAGGAAAAAGAGGAAACTTTTTTTTATTAGGAGGAGTTTCCAAATCTAATATCAGAATTTAGGTTAAATGTTAGAATCAAGCAAATCTTATTTGTTGCAGAGGATCCAAGAGTAACCACTCTTAGTATTGTAAGTACCACTCATGTGATCATACCAAATGAAGACATCATCTCTAATTAAAAATAAAAGTTTTGTTGGTGAAATCAGTGATGATGTTATAAGGGAGTTAAGTTTACAAGTGGTTGATGTTCGACGATATCGTAGAGTAACAATATTTAGTTGTGATATTAAGGTCATGTATATTTACATACCTAACAAGAGCAACATAGATTTTTAGACAACTGCAGTGGTTATATTATAAAGAAGATCACCATGACCCAACCATCCAATAAAATTCCTATTTTAGCATATTCTTCACTCTGACAATAAAATTATAAGTAGAGGATCATGTGGTGGCTAATAAGGAGAGTAAACATGCACCCTACAAATATTTTTGAAAGAGGAGATGCACCTAAAGTTTAACATCATTTTGAAATATTTCCCAAACCAACTACCCGAGAAGGGTTATGTTGGCATCTCTTATTGATTGAACCCCTAGGCCACCCAAATTCCTTGGATGAGTAATTATTTTTCCATCCGACCTAAAGAATACCTGTGATGGTATTATACTTCCAAATAAATATTTGAATCATACGATCATTTGTGTCACAAATATTTTGAAGAATACAGATGGTTTGCATGTAGTAAGAGGGGATAGAGGTAAGGACCTAATTAGCAATGGTAATCTTCTAGGCTTGTTGAGAAGTTTTTTTTCTAGTAATCCATGAAAATTTGTATTTTTTTTCATGACAAACTTAAAATATAATCTTTTAGCTCTACCTTTGAGAATAGGAGATCTAAGCTATTTGTAAAAAGAAGTAGTAATATGAATGCCAAAGATTGTTATCAACTAATTGATTTTAGTCTAAGGGATGCAATAGGATTCGAAGAATCACTATGAACAAAATCAG